CCCCCAAAACCCCAAAACCCCAAAACCCCAACAATTCTTAATAACATTGTATTATTAATAATAATGGTAAGTTGGGAAAGGGTTGCATTTGGTAGAGGAGATTTATGAGTGTATTAAAGGAAAATGTTTAGATATATTCAAGAACTTTAGCTAAAGCTAAGGCTTTATGAAATGTTATTGCTTGTATTAGATTAATCATGTAAAATTCTTAATAAAAACTCTTAAAACGGGGGATTTAACGCATTGGGAGGTCTTTTGCAATTGACTAACAACATTCCAGTAAGTTATATCAATAATTTCGCTTATAAACCTAAACTTATTCATCAACTATCTCCTTGTTGGTTATAAATAGACTCGTCTAAAGAGGACTTTTGTCAAATGCCACAGAGGCTATGCTAGCATGTGTATTTCCTACTTTCTCTAAGATTTCATTTAGCAGAATTACCATAAGATTTTTAAGCTTGCACGAAATATTCTTTTATTAAGGGATCTTTTATCTTTATGTTAGAGCTTTAAAAGTAAGCTATTGTAGCTAATATATGGTTAAATAATTTACTGTTTTACATCATTTTTAGAATATGAGCATTTTTTTATCAAGAATGTTCGCTTCTCACAAAAATATATGTAGTACTACCTCCTTTGGCATTTGGCCAAATAAAACAGGCTAGAATGGGACATAAAACATCTCTAAGCTTGGATGAAGAAATCCTAACCCTCACTGCCTATGTTTCTTGAAGTATAGACAAATTTCGAGAATTTGGCCAAAGTAGGGAAATTTTATCAGTTCATAGATGTATTCCACTCTACTTCACCGATCATTTTGGGAGAAGGAATCGACACTTTAGATCTTTTAGTTTCCCCATAAGGCAGATAGTCAATTATACAAGTGAAGGATTAGTAGCCACATTTTTCACAGATATTATCAAACTTAACGCTACTGATAATATTAGCTGAGACTAATACATATTTACATGAAATGAGGCAAGGCTTCGTACTAGCCTTGGAGTTTAGACTTATTATTGCAAGGTTTAACAAGTACAGTCATCTTACAATATAATTTCCATATTTAACCGACCTTTTAAACCTTACTAAAAGTGGGAAAGTATCCATAGCTACTAGGTTTGCGTTAAAATATATTCATCATGATTGCTCTGAGTTTGGACCAAATAGTGCTTACCATAAAACCAATCACTTATTTATGCTGTTTATGAGCAGTTTATTATTTTAAATCATTCTTTATTGCAATGAATTATGGCCTTATAATATTGATGTTAAGAATTTTGTCCGATAATTTCAGAAAATTTGAACCTGATTATTGAAAATTCTTATATCCTGTTATCGTCTTGCACCAAATTTAATCTCCAATTCTTATACCCAAAGGCAATGCCAGGCCTGGCATTGCCTTTGGGTTCAATAATAGCTGTGAAAAACTGAGTGAAGATATGTCTACCATATTGGGAGAAAGTTAGCTGAATTTAGTAGAGAAATTGCCTCAGTCTCAGAATTTTCTAATATTATGTTAATAATTTCAGCGATAATTAGATAATTAAGACGGTTACAATTCACAGCCATTGTTTAGTGAGCTCCTTAATTTGGTGCGATCAGGTTTGAGACCTCTGAATTAATTGGAAATTTTTGATGTTAGGAACCCAGTATGAATTTCGGATCTGAAACTTTTTATACCTTCTCTTAGTAGTCTTGCTCTTCAAACAGTGAGATGTCTCCCAATTTTCAAAATTGGACTGATATTCATAAATTTTATGTAGTTCAAAACAGTTGAAGAGTAATCGGTCATAGGCTAGCTGAGATATAAATTCGACTTTGTATCCCTAAATCTTGGTTTTTGATTGCTCAACACTTTCAAAAGTACACTTTTTATACATTCATGAATCCTGATTTGAGGAAGTTAATAATTATGACAATGTTCTGAAGCAACTTCCTTTATCTTATTCGTAGACTTATCCAAATATTGAGCACAGCCAATGCTCAATTAATTAAAGCTAAATTTTGGACTTGTTAAATAGCAAGAATAGCCTCCATGAGTTGGATTATAATAGTGCACTTTTGGCCACCTATAATTTTGTTCAGAGTCCTTTATGAACGGAGATTTAGAATAAAGCTACTATCAGATTTATTAGTTTCCAAATTATTTATAAAATTTTACTATTGTTAATACATTTTATGGGTAAAAATTTGCTCAAAGTTTCATAATTCTTAAGAAAACTAGTCTTGAGCAGTACTCACACAAAATATAGGAACAAAATAACAACATGACACTGCCAAATTACAGGTTTAACAATCGGAAATTCTACAAGGACCTCCAATGGACTGAGATGAACACCTTCATTCGTCAGGAAGATGTTGAACGGAATGAGAAAAATGATATACGTACGTTCTTGATTTTTCCCTCAGATCTAACTGTATTTTAGTCTGGAAAAAATTAATTAATAACTCGAAGGAAAGACACCCAGAAAACTACTTTGAAACGGTTAATTCTACTGATTATTCAGCCTTCTACAATCACAAAGAGGGTAAGAGAGGAAATGACAAAAGAGTTTTTCTCCTGAAGAACGGCAAAAGGAATATATTCAGTCCTTCTCCTTCTTTTCATGAGGAGGAAGTAGGCCATTTTGAGAATTTGCAGTCAGAAAACCCTCATGATATAACACGGAACTTACAAAGAGTAAGTATAATACTATTAATTGGTCCCTTATTTTATGAATAAGACTTTAATGTCTTCTAGATGAAGCAGAAAGAGAATATTCCCAAAATGAATCAACAAGAATTACCCAACTGCACAAGTCCAAAAAAGTAAGTACCTGCCTTCATATTTTAGCAACAAATTAGTAAACAAGACTGTGATTAGCCCAAAATGTAAGCTTCAGTCAACTTTTCCTTTCAAATTTGCTGCAAAATTTCTAATTCACATTTAGTGAGAAACCAGATTAAGGAGCTGAACAAGCCTAGGATATCAAATTTAGTAGCTCCATCGATTTTCGACCGGAGCAAGATAGCAAAACTTATGGAGAAATATACATTTATCAGACCTAGCCTCCAAAGATACAGAAGCCCTGATGCTCGGAACAATACTGCATATCAAACTAATCGATTAGAGAACCTGAAGAATAACTTCTTTGACCTTGAGAAGACCAAAAGAGAGCTATTCCCACCTCAAAAGAAGAAGTATAGGCCCCGAAAGCCTGCTTTGACAAATATGAGACTTCCTGTGAGGCCTAAGAAGAAAATTTCCGATGTGAGTGAGCTCCTAATGGAGTCTCCTTTTATCAAGAATACACTAAAGGGGCCTGCAAAAGTATGATATCTTAACTTATCTTTTAGGGAAATGCTAAATTCAGCATCTCAGATCAAGAGATTGAGAGAATTAAGAACCAGATATGGAAAAAGATGAAGCTGAGTAGTCCTAAGAAGCGTGACTTATAATTAACTCTACTAATTAACCTTCTCCCAGCTTCCTTCATTTCTTATTCCTTAAATTCTACAAGATTTATGTCTCACGGGGTTTTGGGGTTTTGGGGTTTTGGGGTTGGGG